CCTTCTATATGCCAAATATAGAACCCCCGAGATTTCTAAAGTTTCTCAGTTAAAGACAAAGAGAGCAAAACTGATTTTACGACGCAAAACTACTAGAGAAGCACTGTTAGGAGGACCAATGAGTTGTAAATTTCTTCTCTGGTTCGGTTTTGACTACTTATATCCCACATACATGCACTGCGTAAGCTCCATAAACTATCAGATAACTTAGTGCTTTGCATCGGCAAATCTCTGACGGCTTACCATTGAATCTTGCCCTTCTCTTTGAGCTGAGGAAATTCCTTCGCCGCCAATTTTTCCAACAAAGCAATTTTGGTTGCTTGCATACCTAGCAGCGAATCGCAAGGAGCTACATTTAGACCTAGTGGTATCGTGCCTAAAACCATTTGCTCTTTTTTTTGAAAACACTATATAAAAATCACTTTTACCCTTGGGAGCGGTTGATCCTAGCCGACTAGCTTGTCCTCCAGCGAGAACGAGAGCAGCCATTTCACCGCGAGAAATTGCCTCAAGTCCTGAAAAATATCTCTTTGCGAAACTTCAGCACAAATTGACTTATACCTTTCCGCCAATATCGTTGCCTCTCGGCAGCCGTTAAGTTTCTGAATACAATATGGTGATCCAAAGGTACAGGTGTGAGATTTTCTGGAGATGCGATGTATGCGTCTTCGGAAGCAAAAAATGCCTTCTTCACGGCATCGAAGTCAATCGACTCGATCTAAACTGCGGTTGTAATGAAGATAGAAAATGGGAATGTACGAACTTATGTGATCTGAAAAATTCACTCCCATCGCAAAAAAACTTCATGTTCTAAAAATCTGGCTTTGCTATTCCTAAATCAACAAGGAAGGATTGTTAGTCAGAGTTGTCTTTTAGGATGAGATGTGCATCATCTCGAAGGACATAAAATGCTTATTCCAAATCTGTCTTCCAGGCGGAGCCTTCCTGGACGAGGAGTTATGAGCGTTTCTTGGAGCAGAAAATTGCAAGTGGAAGTAGATTACAAATACTCGTAGCCTTTCTCCTACCGCTTGAATGGAGCAGTTGAGATAAAATATGCCCAAACGTCGCTGCTTCATTTGAGCGCTAAAAAGATTTCAGCAAATTATCCGCGAAATCACTAAATTTTTGACTCCAATAAACACTCATAACTCCCCGTCCATGAACCGCAGATAAGGGAGACAGGTTTGAAATCGCGTTTTATGTCCTTCAAGATGGTTTAAATCCCATCTTTCGAGGCCAGTTCGACTAAATACCCTTCCCTTTAAAGTCGAATTTCCGAGTCGTAAACTTTCCAAAAATGTTTCAGCAAAGAAGAGGTTATCTCATCTTATCCCAATTCTTACCTGCTCCGCTAACGAATTCCTTTGCTGCTCCGATAATTCTTCCCAAAACTTAAGTAAGTGCTTCTGTGTCCCGACACGACTTAGGAGCTTCTCGTATAATGACATGGTTAGAAAACTGTTATTTACGATGACCTGCAATATAAGGATGAGAAGATAATTCTAGCAAAGACTGGGAGTACAAACGAGGAACGAGCTGAGATCAATTATTTAGCTGAAGAGAAATTAGAAAAAACTATGTTACACGCACTAAGTGCATCAGATCAACATTCTTATCTGATAAACAAAAAACAAAGCACTTCTCCAGGTATGAAGTAAAAATATTGTTCAGCATGGAATTGCTCCGTCATTCCTTCAATAGAAATGATGTTAGCTATGACACAA